ATATTAATTACATTCATTTTATTATAAAAATAAATTGTTGTTGAAAGTACACACATTTTTTAAGCATTTGGGTTCCAGTGGAATATTTTTTGGGATTCATCAATAATAAAACGTAATACTTTTACATTTTAAAAATGAGGGATCTAACGGAAATACTTGTTCTAGTGAATGAATTACGTAACATTTATGTTCTAGTAGATATGCTGCGCACGTATGGTTAGAATAGTCATCATCATCATCATCAGCCTATTAATGTCCCCACTGCTGGGGCACAGGCCTTCCCTATGGATGGAATAGGGAGATTGGGCCATGACCCACCACGCGGGCCCAGTGCGGATTGGTGGGTGCTAACGACTGCAAATGCAGCCGGGACCAACGGCTTAACGTGCCTTCCGAAGCACGGAGGAGCTCGAGATAGTAAATTTTTGGTCACCCATCCAATGACCGACCACTGCGAAAGTTGCTTAACTTTAACGATCGCAGCCGAACGCGCTAGCCACCTGCGCCATCGAGCTCCTCCAGGTCGATCTTAGAATAGTAAATGACCTTAAAAGTGGTTAGTGGTTATCGAGGTTAGAATAGTAAATGACCTTAAAAGTGGTTAGTGGAGCTGAATAGACGACAAGAGCTCAAAACAAAACCTAATTTCCAAATAGTCATGTTAATATGTTAAGACATCAATACCAAATTGGACATATTTTTTTTTGGGCTCGTTATCGTCACTACAAGGTTATAGAAAAAAATAAAATGGTAGTACGAAGATTGCCGGGTCAGCTAGTTTATAATATTTAACAAGATTATTTAAGTCATTTTGTAAGAGAAGGCAATCTTCGATTGAATTAACCAGGATGAAAATGTTCTTATCATCTGCATATAATAGGTGTTAGAAGTCAATAAGGCAATTCGATATATCAAATATGTATGCATTGTAAAAGAGAGGGCCAAGGTGGAACCCTAAGGAACTCCCGAAGGGACATAAATATACACGGAATGGTAACTTCCTGGCACTACTGCCTGAGACTAATTGGATAAATAAGATATCACCCATCATTCAGAAAATCCTCGTGAATACCAAGCAACCACAGCTTATTAATAACTACTCTATGATTTATTGGTTTGGGTTGGAGATTGGAGCATAAAACTTCAATTTTGTTCTCATTTGATTACAATGGATTTTACGAGGTTCACCACAAAGATTTTAAACCCAAACCAAGGTTGTACCAGTTGTACGGTGTAAGTACGTCAACCCGACAGCAGCACATCTCCGATCGCCATTTTAAATTTATCAGCAAATTGTACTCTTAATGAATGAATTTTCGCTTCAAAGTAAATTTGAACTTTGTTCCCCAAGCGACTAAATGTTGTAGATTGGCTAACATCAACCCAGCAGCGCCACTTCTGTATAATAAAATTCATAGACAAATCCTCTTTTTACACTTTTACTTTCAGAGTTTAACATTATTTGTATACATATATGATTCATTTTATCTATGCATACTGAAATCATGACAAAAGCGGTTGCACCTACAGACCTTCGTATGACTTAATTTTGTTACTTGGCCCTACTACGTATAACATTTTATTTTACTACGATTATTCTATGATTTACAATCAAAAGATAGCACGACCGATAGCACTAACCAATACAATTTCCAAAATTATTTTAGCATAGTACAAACAAAAATATCAAAATTTATGATCACTAATAGACCAATAGGTATTTCAGGCCAAACCATCAAGAAGGGTTCTTGCCCGGCATTTCTGGCTGTCTAGAACACAACACATTAGTAGCGGAAAGTTTAAAATACATGAGAGACAAATAACAGTCTGCTGGATAGATCTAGAAAACGCATTTGGTTCGGTACAGCATGAACTAATGATAACTTTCCTTCTATAGTATTCGACATAATCACATCATATTACTTACAAATTGTAAGTTACAATAACAATTTGTCATAGCAGCAAACAAGGAATACACAAAACTATTGCATTATAATGTAGAGTTATTTGAGGGCTGCTGCGTGTCACCAATAGCATTTAATATCATTATAAATCTTCTTATCAGCTAGACTATATCTAGCTGATAAGTCATGAGAAGAAACGGGGCTATCGTTTTAAAATAAACAATAAATACACAAAGTCCATCTTAGCTTTTGCAGACGACCTTGCAATACTGACGCGTAATCCTAAACAATGTCAGAAAATATTAACTGAAGTGAATGAGTACTGTGCATGAACTGACAGACTGAGAACAAAATCAAATAAGTGCTGCTGTCTATGCCTGGGTAGACGAGACACCGAATATACCTCTTACAATCCCGAACTCTCAATAGGGGGACAATGTGTTACCACGATTGCTGAAGCTGCGCCTTTCAAATTTCTAGGTAGAGAGATTGATCACAAGGGACGTACTCCATGCTTAGATGCAGTTGTCAATAATTTTCTAAATGACTTAAATAATGGTGGATCAACAACCATTAATCAATATTAAAAAAGTTTGGATATACGACAACTATTGTACGTCACGTCTGACTTGGCTTGTATATGACTTTGGTACAACCCTCTTGATAAAATTGGATACAAATATCATAAAGACATTGAAGTTATGGCTTGGACTAGCCCATTCAGCTGATCCCTCAACGATCGAACGAACGAACGAGAGATCAGAATAGTTTCTCGGTCACCAATATGCATGTCTTGTGACAAACCCAGGATGAAATAGTCTCATCACTTCCAAAAGACCAACGTGTTACAAAGCTTGAGTCAAGACTCCAAATTCGTTCACTTGGAACGTGCGCAGCGAGCGGTCCTTAAGGTCCTTCTCCGGAAACCATACAGATACCCAACTCGGGAACTATACAAAGAATTTAATTGTCTCACTGTACGGCAACTGTATATTTTACGTTCAATTCTTCGGTTTCATAAATCTAATCCGGCACCGACCGGTCCTGTTGTCTCAGTAGTTGCTAGACGACCCAAGCAACCTTTCCCTAATGTCATTTGTAAAACCTCATTTGCCCGAAAAAACTACCAATATATGAGCGCAAAATTATATAAAAAATTAAATTCTCTTTTATCAATTCATTCCCTTACAATGTATAACTGCAAAATAAAAGTTAGCAAATGGCTGAAAGGTATGGATTACGAAGAGACGGAGTGTTTAGTAAATAATTAATTAGAACACTTTATTGTGTAATCAAATACAGCAGCATTTAGTTATTGTCGGTTTCTGTAGTTTTTATAACTAGTTTATATATCTATATAAGTAATCATGCAACCAATGTGCGTACACCTAAATCGGCTACAGTATTTACGTATATAGAGGGGACCCTGTTGCCTGTAATACAGGTTATCCTACCACTGGCAACAGAAGTCACCTTTAACAATATTTAAGCTCCAATGTGCCTCTTGTCACCAATCTTTGTATTATTAATTTAAAATATTGTAACTTGCTTTAAGTCAATAAACGTTTATTATTATTATTATTATTATATAAACAATTTATGGCAGGTGCACAGGTTAATATGCTGGGTTCCGCAAAGAAAAAGGAGGACCGAGACATAATAAAATATTTCCTTCAAAAAGACGAAAATAATAACTATAAAGTACCCGCAATGAATTTGGAAATACAAAGTGAGTGGTTAACCATAGATGAGATCTGCATTCCATTAGCTCTAAAGTGGCGCACTTTTCTACATGATTGGTCTCCTGCTCTACTAAAATTTTATCTCAATGCCTTCCAAATGACCCTCCCAGTCCAGAGTAACCTAGTAAGATGTGGGAAAGCCTCTGAGCAATACTTGTGGTGAGGCAATAGGTACTACTAGGCACATACAACCTACTAAAGGTTGCAAGGTGCTCCTTGATAGGGGTCAATATCCACGTCTCCATGATAGAGTACCTTAAGTCATACGTGAAGAAGCAAGTTTTGCAGTGGTTAGAGCCCAAAAAGTATTAACCACAAATAAAAATTAAATTAACTTTATAAAACTCGAAAAGCAAACCTTTCTCAATTCTAGGTACTACACCTGACTGGACTATTTTAATGGATACGTATGAAAAGCATTATAAAATACTAATGGATATTAGTGTTTCGTCATCCAGGCCTAGGTACATCAAACATAAAGTACTAATAAAGCTGACTGTATTGTGGGAAACTAAATGCCAAAAGACCACAGAATAAAATTGAATAATATTACGATCTAATTATGTTATCAATGAACTAACTAAAAATGGCTAACTAGTTAATTTATATGCGGTAGAACTAGAAGCGTGATGTGTACCAAGTAAGCAAAATCTCTCTATAACCTTCTAAAAGACCTAGCCCTGTCGAGAATTGCAGTAAGTTCAATTTTTGAACGAGTAACTAAGGCTGCCCTAACAGGCTTCTATTAAATTGGTCTAGGAAGGGCGGGCAACTCGAGCAGTGAAGGTGAGCGTTGAATCGCATCTTAAAGGGGACCTCCTTAAACCTACACCAGAGTCGCAAGTCCCGGGAATTGCTCAGAGTTTCTCTCTCTCCCACACGATGGACCCGGTACCCGCACGGTGAATCCATGGATTGCTAAGAAGTTCGTCTCATGTGCAGTATGCACACAAAAATCTAATAAGTATAAAAGAAGCGTTTCTTAAAGCAAACGCATTAAACAGAAAGAATGCTGAAGCAAGTGAAAACAATGTTGATTATATTATTATGTGCTGCATAATATATTAAGTTTTGGAGAAACAATGCATAACTTTTAATACTGCCAGCCACAATTACGTCTCTGTGTCGCATCCTAGTATAACTACTATAAGGTGTCTGTAAATAGTGTCAAAGAAGCGCAATGGTTAGTTTTAAAAGAAGTGTATTTTAATAGAGCGGAAGTATATTACATAATATGACTATAAGTGTGTAAAGGATAATGCCCCAGTTAAGGAATCACTGTTACGTCTCCAGTACGTAAAGAATATCTTTCCTGATACTAAAACCGACCTATACAATAATTTTGCATAATTACCTGTGTTCCAGAACCCTCTTATCGAACCAGGTGCTGTGCATTGTCGTTAGTGATTCGGCAAAACTATCTAGTTCTATTTCGCTCTTGTCACTCTTCAATGGTTTGTCAACGCCAACTATTGACTTGTCGGGGATTTCTACGGCTTCATCGCCCGCATAAAACGTCACCACTGGCTTTTTGTTTTTGGAGGAAGAATTCGCGCGTGCGCGTATATCTTGAGGATTAACAGAAGGCGTCAACGGATAGGCACTTTCAAACGCGTCCGGCATTTTAAAGAAATATTTAAATTTATACGAAACAAGGCAACTGTTCAGTATGAAAATCAAATTGGTACTACAGGTTTCTGTGTAGATGGGGTAGCAAGGAGTCGTTAAGCGATGACCCCAAGCTGTGATAACTTTACGACCGATCACGTCAACAACTGATGTAAATAATTCGACCCCCGCAACCACGTTATTTGTCGTTTCGGACTATCGAAAATTAATACTGATAATTAAGAATCTGACGTAAGATGATGTTTCATGATAATATTTTTTTCCGTCAATTATAAATATGTAAATAATGTTTCCATCTGCATCAAATTGACTAGTCATTGAAATATTTATTTATATAAGTACTTATGTCTGACATATTGAGAATAGTTATGTTTTAATGTGCCTGCCTACTGAGAAACCTATTATTGAGAATTATTTAACTTTTATGTTTTTATATCTAACTATAAAATAAAGTATTTGTGTTTGTATGTTTGTTACTCAATCACGCAAAAAGTACTGAACGGGTTTGGATGAAATTTGATACGCATATAGTTTCTGACCTAGATTGAGACATAGGATTCTTTTTATCCAGAAAATTACTAAGTAGAAAATTGCTGGTTCCTGTGGGATTCTGAAAAAACTAAAGTTAAGGTGGACGAAGTCGCGGGCGGCCGCGTAAAACTTAATATTTTGTACCTGTTTTACACATCTTACATGTTATATGTACCTATCAGTAATATCCAATGGCATTTATATGAAAATTTTACTTCAATTACCTACTTCTAACTTGAAAAATCTCATTAGCTGTTAGTGCTTTCCCTTTTAATTTCATTGGAAAATTGTCAGTAGTAGCATAGTATCATATCTATACTAATATTAAAAAGCAGAGTTTGTTTGTTTGTTTGAACGCGCTAATCTCTGGAACTACTGGTCCGATTTGAATGATTCTTTCAGTGTTGGGTAGTCCATTTATTGAGGAAGGCTATAGGCTATTTTTTTCAAAATTAGGGAACCGTAATAGAATTGGTATTTTGTAACACAAGGTGTAAAATCGAAAACCTATTTTTGCGTGCGCTGCAAAAACTATTGACAATAGAACAAAATGATGTACTACGGGTTTGTAGATCCCATTAAGACCTACAAAAAGTCCGAGAGAACATATATCTAGCTATCATGGTTTAATCACAATAACCGATTTTGTGTTCAAAATAATTATTAAATCGTCTGAAGAAAAAAAAACTACGTTAAATATGTATCGTAATATTAATCTTTATCGAAATTAAGCATTATGTTATCAAGAGTATTTATGTAGAAGTAAAATACTTTTTGTTTCATCTCAATCGGATATTTCGTTTAAAAGTTATCACGTGTGTAAGATGTTAAGAGTTGGTACCTATTAATGAGTTATGGGCCATAGAGTTTTTTATCAACATAAACTCCTGTAATAATCTTTTTCGAAATATATTTCGCACCTCCGGTGCGACACTGTCACTTATGCAAAAAAAACATTTTTTCAGGAGAAGCGTTTAAAACTTTAACATCCCAAAACATACAATATTGAAAGTTTTTTTTTTAACTTTTTTTGGATGAATAGCTAAGCTGTATAAGCTTTTCATCACGTAAAAATCTTTAAATATTGTATGTTATGGGATGTTAAAGTTATAAACGCTCATCCTGAAAAAAAAAATTTTTTGCATATCGTCGTTGCGACTTCAAGACCTCCTATGTGTCATTTTTGTCGAAATACCTTTTTTATACGGGTTTATTTCAAATTTTGGCGCTACATCGAAAGCAAAAACTCTCGTGTGAATAAGTCTTTTCAATTTCTATTTATTTACTTTATTCAATATATCCTAAGTGCTTGCTCAAGTAAAGTTGTCATTTAAAATATCTTATGTGTAAAAGCGCTAGATAGGTAAAAATTGTTATTGGTCAAATTTTCAAACTAACTAACCAATAGAAGCACTAGAATGAGAGGGATGCATAGATCGCGTGATTATTTTCCGATTGTAGGTGTTAGACGGGGGTAGTAATATAAAAATTACGTTAGCTTTGTCGGGTTCTCGCTCTGTGGTTATAACAGTCGATGTGCAAAGTGTATTGCTTGCTCCAAAGCTATTGGCAAGTGCCCTGTTCTATAAATTGAAGTTACAATGTCATAATTTCACTGTTTATGATGTTTTATCTTAAAATGTATTAATTTACTGCTGGCACGAAGCAGACGGTAATGTAATGAATTTTCATCTTGCATAATAGACCATTGTCAAAATTTACCAACTACAATTAAGTGTATTATTATTTTTATGTTTGTAGAACAGAAACCGAATTTCGTCGACTGTTCTAAGTGTTTTGGCACAACGAAGGCAATTGAATATCGAACAACTCTATTTAGAGAAAGGGCATCAATGATCCTTACTCCCGGTATCTTTGGGTATGCAGACGACAGCACAGTCTCGGAGAGATACCTGCCTGATGTGAAGTCTGATGCAGACGTCCGATCTTTAAGGGAGGCGATGGTGGAGGGAGTGATGCAACTCTGGAAGCTGTTTCCCTCTGGGGTGAGGCCAACTTGGTTGGATTCAATCCCTCTAAAACACAGGCCTGTCTCTTCTCGGCGAAACGAAGTCCATTCCATCTGACTCCGACTTTCCGAAACATCTCCGTGCCGGTTACAGACCATCTCGAGCTCTTTGGTCTCGACATCTCTTTCAGCCTCAATTTCGGTCGCTACATCGAATCCATTACTAAAACCGCTGCCAATAAACTTGGAATACTTTCTACGGTCAGGCGGTATTTTACATCTGAGCAGCTCCTTAACCTTTACCGAGACCAAGTTCGCTCCTGCTTGGAGTACTGTTGTCACCTTTGGAATAGATCTGCTCGGTATCAGCTGGATGCACTGGACTCGGTGGAACACCGTGCCAAGAGACTCATAGGCGATGACGCTCTCGTTGAGGCTAATCTCCAGAGCCTTGACCACCAAAAACGTGTAGCTTGCCTCTCGGTGTTTTATCGGTTACTTTTCGGAGAGTGTGCGGAGGTATTACACAATTTGATTCTCCCTTCCCCTTTCCACCACCGGACGACCAGGCGCGGCGAGGGCTTTCACCCTTGTTGTCCAAGTTCCTCCCATTCGCACGTAGCGATTTACTACAGCTTTCATTATGCGAACGGCTAGGGAGTGAGTGAGTGAGAGTGAGCTACCGAGGTCTGTTTTCCCGGACCAATATAATCTGGACATCTTCAAGGCCAGAGTGAACAGGCATCTTCTAGGCAGGCGTGTACCATCTTAAGCCTCATCATCGCTTTCCATCAGGCGAGATTTTGGTCAAACGCCTTGCCTATTAAATATAAAAAAAGGGCACACCATGATGGAGGTGGACAGTGTTCACTCCACTATTGAGCAATACATAAAACCACTATCATATACTATTGTCATTGCAATGATACATTTTAAAAACAAATAACTTGTATAATTGAAAGTCTTGTGTTTTGAATCTTAATCCCTTTTACATACTTATATTCTCTAATGTGATACAAAACGCGCAACCAAAACCTCTTATGTATCACATTTAATTGTTTTTTATTTTTTTACTACAATTTCGTTTATTATTTAAAATGACAAGAGCAAAATAAAAATCATAAAACCCTCTAGTTATCACTTGTATTTTTTGTTATATTTAGATTCCTTATATTTTTTTCAGTAGACAGTTTTTATTGAATATCTCGCATTGAAGAATTTTACACATGGGAGGTCTTAAAGTTGCAACGACGATATGTGACAGTGTTGCACCGGAGGTGCGATTTGTTGATGATTGGAAACGCGGGTGAAACCGCGGGGCACGGCTAGTACATAATATACAGTAAATTTTTTCACATATCATGAAACAATCATTTCTCTAGTAAGTATTAAACTACTACAGGTTAGGACTTGTCTCACTGTTAATATTTTAGAAACCTGACCAACCAATGAGATCCAACTCTGTCCAGTGTTTTTTTTTTTTTTTTTTTTATTTCTAATTAATCCCCGTTTTGTTACAGGTCTTTATATTCTGTTTTGTTTTCCATTCTTTTGTTTACTTTTTTTGTGCTTCTTTTTTTTTTGTTTTTTTTTTCTCTTATCTTTATAATTCTATTACATATTTTTTCTTATTATGAATATTTACATTTTCGTTTCTCTGAGTTTTTAATTTCTTATATCTATTTTACAATCATTTTTCTTGTTTATTTATTTCCTATGAATTTTTACATATTTGCTTCTTGTTATATTTCTTATTTTAACATTATCATTATAAATATAGAGATATCAGATAGATAGTTGGGTAGTTGTAACTAGCAACAGTTTATTTGTCTGCTCTCAAGTTATTTAATAATTTTGACTGTAAATAACGTGAATTATTGAGTGAAAAATGGTTCAAAAGAAGCATTAAGTGCTAATATTTTATACGTGAAATTTATTCTACTAAAAACGAAATTATAAATTCCTAAAACAAACAAGTTTGTGGTGTGTAATCTCCGAATACGTCGTTTTGAAGAATACGCGTAAGTGACGCGGTCCCCACGGCGCTTAAGACCTTTTCGTCGCCACCGCATGCAACTACTATCAGTGCTCGAGGACGTTTCTAACTGATTGTTTGATAAAGTTTACTTTACCTACAACTTGCAATACCATCTGTTTTTTATAAATAAACAATGCCTAATAAGAATAATGTTTGTGCTGCCTGCCCAAATACTTTGAAGAATATCGGATTTCTGCGTTGTTGTCGTTGTGAAGAGCAATATCATTACACATGTATGAATTTTACAGCAGATGATTTTAGAGGCTTTTCTTCTGAGTTTAAGTTTTCGTGGATTTGCCCCGCATGTAGATGTAAAGAACCGAAAAGCGGTAATAATTGTAATACACCGGTCCGTCCGGCATCACAGACACAGCCATTGAGTTCAACTGTCTCTCACTACGACAATGTTACTTTGCGTACTAAACAGAAGGTATCCGTTTCCGGGACTACTGCTCCGATTCGGGGTTCCCCTTGCTCATGTCTCACAGCGTCAGATATTAGAACTATTATAAGGGAGGAGTTATGTCACATAAAAACCGAAATAAATGCTGACCTACAGAAAATTGAGAAAAGCATGACTTCATTTGAGGCAAGTTTGTCTTTTTATA